CAAAGTTAAATAATATTCATCCGATGAAACCATACTAATTCACGATTATTTGTTTTCAAAACTCTGCAAGGCGTTCCATTTTATCACAAATACATGATCTTAAAATTACTCGAATAGTATCAATCAAACATCTATAAAACAATAAACTAGAAATCATTAAAATGGGGATTTAATGGCACCTTTTCAAAACGAGAGCAGGGAATGCAAAGGCCAGAAGGTGAACAATCGAATGTGAGATTTCCACCATTTGGCGTCTCTTTAAAACCTATCAACGTTCTCCAACCCAGATACTGATAAATTTTCGACATCAACCGGTTAGGCGGTGAGCCACACCCATTCTGATAATCCTCTCCTCAGAACTTGGCACCTTCCCGAACCCGAAAGATCCCAAATTTTCCTCCACTACCATGGGGAATTTGCCCATGAAACTCACATTCAGCTGAATCAACTCATTCTCCAAAAAACCCAACTTCTCCGAGTCCATCAGTAAATCATCTGTAAAATCGAGTCCACCGTCCAGATCCCAGTAATTTACAAGCTCCCCCTTGGACGTAATGCTCACCCACAAAAATGGCGATCTAATTACTTCATAGGACCCATTTTTCGAAGGCAAGATTATTGACCCAGTAATATAAAACGGACCCCTCTCACCAACACACTCCAAAATTTGGCATTCAGGTAGAATTTACCCAACCATCTCTAGATCCATTCCGCTCTCGAGGAGAGATTGATGAAGAGGAAGCAGAAAGAGGATGAAGGAACCAAGATTTCTGCCTTTGTATTTTCTGCTGAAAGAACATAAAATGAAAGAGGAAATAGAAATGGTGCTTCCCGTGTTTCGGCCATTTTCGCGTGTTTTGTGAAGAAAACGTCCAAAACGTGATTTTTCTCGTTTTGTGTGTTTCTTTACAATTTTTTTTTTTGTTTTCAAAAATTCATTTTCGAAAATGGAAAAGAGAACGCTTTTTTTGTGTTTTGAAAAATCGAGAATAGAAAACGACTTGAAAACGACAAAGAGAACAAGGCCTAAAGTTTGAAAGTTAGTAAAAACTATGGGCTCATATTTAATTTTTTGAAAAGTACAAGGGTGTATAGGCAATTAGATGACGATCCTTCGCGGGAAAACACATTAACACGTTCTCTGATCATCAAGCAAAATCAATGGAAGTTAATTCAGTGAAAATTTTCTGCAATTACGTGAGTCCCAAACTTCTCTTCAAAATACCTAATTGTATTGTATTATCACTTTTTTGCTTTGATTTTTGCAATTTTGAACTTTTTATTTTTTGTGAAAATTTTGAACTTCTAATCCGGATTTTGGATTATTTTTGCAGATGATCGATTTCTCTGAAATCATCTCCTCCTCAATCCACTCCGCCTCTCCTTTGGATCTCAGGTACACTCATATAAAGGTGTATGTATTTCATGAACAATTTATTATGGAGAAATAAATAATATGTTATCGATAATTTTGGATAATTTTTTTGTATATAATGTCATCTGTTAATTTAGTTTAGTCTGAGTACGGGTTTTCCCTTCAGTAAACTTGTGCTGAGAGTTTGAATAATGTCTGTTGCTGTTTGTTTCTCCGTTCGTTTTTATTTTTTTAATCTTTTATTCTGAATTGCTTGAATTTTTCCGCTACTTCTGGAATATTATGGGCAAATTGGTATTTTAATTAGAGATATGTCTAATGAATAGCTTTTGTATCTTGACCTATTCCATTTATGATTTGCCGGAATAAAAGGGAAAAAGTTATTAAATTGCAAGTATTTGAATTTTGAAAGTATGACTTGTTGAAAAGTCTGGAGTCTTGAATTTTACAATAATCAATGAACTTTTTGTTGGTTTTCCTATTGACTGTTTCTGATATGGGTGATGGAAGCACCCTCGAGAATTCAAGGGTTAAAACTCACCAACGAACCCGTCGTAGCTGGTAAATGGTGTAAGTAAAGCTATTTTCCGCACTTTCACGACAAATTACATGCACCAATGTCTCAACATAAAAATTTGGAGTCAACGCGTCCATAATTTACGTAAGCTCAAACAATAAGGGTTTTCTTGTTCACTATGCAATATCCAGGGTTTGGGAGCTCAGCTGATATCTTACACCTATTTAATGGGAAGGAAAGTATAAACTGTAGCAACGTGATATATCGCAGTTTTTCGTGTACTGCTAGACCAATTGACTTTTGTCATACTAAGAGTTTGATTGTGAGGAATTTTAATCCAATTAAAATTGAAAATATAATCGTTATTGGATTTCACTCGTCTAATAAAAGTCAACAATAACGCCTAGTTTTTCAATTTTAATCTGATTTTAATCTCTACTAAACAAGCTCTAATTGTTTGATATCAAGATTATATTACTGTGCACCTGTCTTTGGTGTTATTAGATCGCCAGTTCCTATTTTTCCATGGCATTTTTTGTTTGTTAATTACATACCCCGATTTACGTGTTGACATCTTTAAACTATTTTATGCACTTTAAGATATCCGATGCATTACTAAATTATATTCACAAATCACCAGCATATAATATGATATCCTGTTGTCCACAGGTTATATCTTTTTATTTTAGTGTTGGATTTGATTTGATGATATTCTTGTATCAGGAAATATTATCTTACTACATCTCTCTGCTATCTCTGGTGGTGGTGGCCTTTTCACTAGTGTCCACTTGCATTATTGGCATTTTACTTTTGCTTTTCCTTTTCTCATCTTGTTCTTTCTTCTGGGCAGTGGCGTGCCATGGTGACATTGGGTGGTGTAGGTGCTGAAGGTTATCAACAGTCTTGATTACGATTTTTTTGAGTGTGATAGATGATTTCCAACCAAAAGAAAGTAGAAGAAAATGCAAACTCGATTTATGAGTCCAATTTCCTGTTCTCCATTAATTGCAACTGGTTTATCGACAATATTACTTCTAGTTGATAGTGCATTCTTTACTGCTGTTGTGTATTATTGTTTAATATGATGCAAAGACATCACTCTTCACTTACTGATCCATTGATTTTCTGACAATTGGTACCATTGACATTGCAGATGGAGTGATTTGTGTTACTACCACCAGTAACTCCATATATTCGTTCTGCCAGTTGAACATTTTGTTAACTTTGTTAGCATACTATAAGCTAACTACAGTGTACTTGCATGAAAGTGGGAGTGATTTCTAACAGTTTTCTGGCTGCAATATGAGAGCCTAGATTTTCAAATAGGGTTAATTATGTGTATGTAAATGCTAAAGTTTGAATAACTCTATAAGTATAGGGCCGTATTCAGAATTGCCTACCAATTTTTTCAGTAAATTGAGGACTCCTTGAACAGATGTGAGGTTTATGTATAGCCTCTACATTACTGCAGGGATTTACTCATTTTTCGAGGGCTACATAATTTCAAAAATCACTTGCACAGGATTGGATTGTACTTTATGCTTATTATGGAGTGTGAAAATCCATATGTAGTGTACTGATGTTTTTATAATTCGCTGATGCTAAAGCCTTTGAACACTAGATTTATGCACAACGGAAGCCTTGATTTATGATATTTGATCTGTTACTCCTATTTTAATGTGGTGCTCTAAAAGGATCCATTTTAAGATTGATTATTTTTCAGTTGCTGGGTCAATTGACATGCATTAAGCCAACTATGGTATTCTGCAGTGTTCAGTTAGTAAGCATTAATATTGTTGTTTTATTCGAAAAAGAAATTGATATTGCTTCCATGGAGTTTTACAATATATTGATATTTTATAGAAGTTCCTTGCGCTACGGGGATAGGTTGGAGGACATGTTTGAACAATAGTTTAATCTGTTACCAAGAGTCCTTTTATCATTTCAGATAATAATGGATATTTCATAGTAGTTGCAAAGGGAAAAAAATTACACATTTCTTGATTTGCTGCTAGATACATATGATTAGATCAAATTCATACAGCAGCAAACTATATATGCATATTTTTTAGTAGCACACAATTATAAAGACAGCTCTTTTCTTCTTTTATGCAGCAGAAGGAGCAGGAATATAGGATACTGCTGGCTCAGGGCCTGCAGCCATGATTGATGGTAATGAGAAGGTATTTTCCTCTGAAACTTCAGATTCTTCAGCATTAAAATCAAGGGATGCATCATCATAAATGTCCCACCATTTATTGACTAGCATCTTGATGTCTTCTCTCTCCATGTTAGCTTCTTTGCCTGTGTACCTCCATGGCTTTGATCCCTGTTAGGAAATTAAGCCACGTAAGTGAAGTATTTTATTTTTTATAGAAGTGACTTGTCGAGGAAGGTGGAAAATATATGTATTGTTTGACAACGATTATTTCAAAACTTTTTAATTCTCATACTCATTTTCAACCACATATTTATACAATGAAATATTTTACACGTAAACCAACTTTTTAATTCTCATGCTCATTTTCAACCACACATTTATATAATAAAATATTTAATTTTCCCTACTTTTTAATCACACATTCTCCAAAAAAATCACTATTCAAAATTTCATTTTCTTAAAATAATGATCATCAAACAGAGCTAAGTGTATGTTTGACTTTGACTAAGCTTTAAAAAATTAGTTTAAAGTAAATTTCCATGTTAGTCAATAAGATTGATTTAGAATTTAAAATTGCTTCGAATTTGAAGTTAGATATAAGTAAGATACTTATTTTGAAATTATCAAATACAATGTCAAAAATAAGTTATTTTTTACTCATAAATAAGAAAAAAATAACATTTTCAATTAAGTTTGGAAATCAAAAGTCAAAAGTAAGTTTTGAGTTTCTTTTAAGCTTGGTAAAAAGAAGTCAAGTTCTTGTCGATTACACAATCTTATACTACAACAAAATATGCACTCACGAGTATAATTCTCTATGGGGAAATGGTTTTTAGATAGTGAATACTTACAGCAGCACAATAGTGAACAACTTTAACTTTATCGAGTTCAACATTTTCGGGGTGGCGCCATAGCATAGCAAGAACCAGGTTGTAAACCAGTGGAATGGGTTTATAGGTTTGTTGGAAGAACATGTTCAAGAAGTCCTGTCATTTAAAAGTAAAACAATTAGAAATGATGTTCAAAAAATCATACTAAATGACCTGCCTAAGCAGTTTCAGTTGATCTTCATTCAAATTTTATAAATCGGCTGCATAAAGATTTTAGCCGCGTCATTTGAACCCTGTTAGTTTGTTCAGTAAGGTGTAAGGCACAATACTAGGCTGTATATTTCAACAAAACAAGGTTCAGATTTATCAGTTGTATAGTCCAAACATGCCTCATAGATTAGGTGGATGCATAGATACGATCTTAGCAACCAGAACTGAAACCGTAACATAGCTCCTCATGTCTAACTGCTTATATACTTGATATTGGCCATTGCTAAGAAGTTCCCTGGCCACTGGGAATCGTCAAAGTAGCCAGTAGAATACCCGTTTAAGCACAATCGCTCGTCTAAGGTTCTAGAATATCTCAAATTAGATTGAAGCTTTTGATATTATATAACAACACACACACAGCTCACCTGCTCCGCAAATGGTGTTGGTGGAGTGACAGTAAGAGTTTGAAGAAGATTTTCATAAGTCAATCTGTTTGGCTCAAACACAAACATCCCAGCATTGAAATACAGTGGAGGAGGTGAACCCATTTCAGCAGGCCATGTAACCTTATCTGGGCGCTGTTGGCAATACCCAATGGAGTACTGTGGGGAGTGACTCCATGTCTTCTCGCAGAAGCAATCCATTACAGCATAGAAGTAACCATTGGGTGTGTCCAAGAGATGGTCTATGTTATCATAAACTTGGATGTCTGCATCAAGGTATACCATCTTGTTGTACTCCTTAAACTGAATTATTAATGAGAAAATAGAAGAAGTTTAGATGATTAAAGTTGTCGATAAGATGGACATATCGAAAATGAGAATGTTAAGATGGATGTATGGTCATACTAAAATGAATTGATAAGGAATGAGAATACACAGACAACAAGTGAATGTGGTGGTGCCCATTGAGGAAAAATTAATGGAAGAATGAGTTAGGTGGTAGCCTGATTTGACTAAAAGAGGCCCCATTTTATAAAGGCGACAGTGATCTTGGTAGAACACGAGGGGTAGACCAAAACTTTGTTTCTTGTAGATGTTATGCTTTAGATCTTCCATTAAATCTAGTAATGGACCTAACAGGGTGGCAAAAAGCAATTGAAAACGAACATGTAACACACACACACACACACTAGAGGCTGTAGTTAATTTCAAATCACTTGAATAGAAACAATTGAACACTAAATGGTGTACTGTGTCCTATCCTTGATTAATGCTTTGCATGAAGATATTCATGCAGGGATCAATAAATTAAATATTATGGCTAAGGAATCTATATGTTTATCAAATACACAAATGCATGTTAAGAAACATGCATTATATAATAGAATTAAAGAAGAAAAGGAAGAATAAAATGCTTGAACATGCATGCATAAATAGAAATCCTAGTCATCATCAATAACACTAGTGTGTGTAGAATCTACACTTACATTCCATATACGGAGCTTAGAATAATTGATGACATAATAGGCCATTGCGAACTGAATCTGGTTATCAGGTGGATATATAGGATCAATCTCTCGAACAATGCAACCTTGTGACCTTAAGATCTCACGATGTTCCTCGGGCACATCAGGCAAAATTGCAACCACAAGAGGGTATGCACTTTTCACCTTTCTCAACCCTTTAGCTAAACCAACCACTCCCATATAGTAATCACCAGTGCCAGCTAAGAACGTCACATAAGCTCGATCAGAGTCAACCGGAGTCATCGGGACTTTCCCGGTGCCAGTGAAGGCATCTATAGCTATTTCTGGGGCCATTTTTTGATCTTAGAATGTATATTCAAAATTCACAAGGGTTTTTGTTCTTGTGCTTGATGGGAAGCTTTGGCCTCCTTATATAGGCCTCAGATGCAATTGATATTCATGCACGTGAAATGAACTTCAAATGAAATACAAATTCAAATAAAATATCATTTTTTGGGTTTTTTTTGTATGTATTTTGTGAAAAGTCATGGGTCATGTATGGAGGGAATGAATGAACAATATTAGACATTAGTTCCTTCACCTTACCGTTCCTGAATCATGAGCTGAAATACAAAATCCAAATAAAATATCATTTTTTGGGTTTTTTTTGTATGTATTTTGTGTAAAGTCATGGGTCATGTATGGAGGGAATGAATGAACAATATTAGTTCCTTCACCTTACCGTTCCTGAATCATAAGCTAGCCTTATCACCTGATGAACGGCTAGGATTATACAGGTAGAAATCATTATTCAATTGGAATTGACAATAATATTCTTTAAATCTTTTTCTTTATCGTCCTTTCATGTCCTTTTTTTTTTTTTTAAAGATTGAAGAGGGATGATAAATGTAAAGAGAGGACATCGAGTGGGTGTCACTGCCTTTTTGGAATATTTTCAGAATATGGACAATTGCATTATTGGTCATTGATTTATTTTCCCAATGACGAGTTGATCTTCAAGCTTTCCTTATAATTGCACAATTAATTTCAAAAAATGATGAAGACCGTTTGAGTCTTTGGTAGATTTCATGTAACTCAATCTCCGACTTTATAAAGTTGGGTTTTGCTTTTCAACTAATTAGATTGGTGTGGTGAGGTATACTTTTATTAGTATATTATGACAATATAACAAAGATATAGACAATTCTCATCGTTAGATATGGATGTGTAGTTATAGGGGAATATTGACTACCAACTTGCTATCGGGATAACAAAAGAAAACCAACGGTAGTTTTTCCAACTTGAAATATACGGAGTCTAGGTTGAATCATTTCCCATTACCAAAAAATAGTATTTAAAACCAAAAATATACATAGAGTGAGTCGGAAGAGTGGCACTCTTTTCAAGAGAATCTGGTTTAATATTTGTGTTTGAAAGTGGCAATGATTGAAAAGAAACAAAGTTGGCATAAATTTGAAAAGAGTGCTATGTGCTCTCACTTTTTATCTGAATCAATATTTGTCTTTCCTCTTGCTTTAGCCCTGAATGGTTTAAAGAATTGCAGCCACCAAAGTTATTCCTTGGGAACTTCTTTTCTTGGTATCCAACACTTTTAAACTAGAATCATGCACCTTTTACAACTTGTTATTTGGTTTAATGAAATTCTTGTAGTAGACTAAGAAAACTCTATTATGTATACTCTTTAGATAGAATTTACTTAGATGTTGGATAGGCACGTAAAAATATAAGCATGATAAACAGGGGTGGAGCCAGGAAAATAATTCAGTGTGGGACTGTGGGCACAATTTATTGATGATGAACGTCGAGTTTTTTGTTATGAATTTAATGATGATAAAAATATAAAACAATATTACTACAATACTAAAAATGGCATAGCTCATAAATTATATTTATTCTTTTCGAGTTTTCATACTT